AGGCAAAAAGCCCCCCCTCCCCCCCCGCCATTACCCAGCCTCTTCCTAGCTAATGTACAGTCTCTGGAAAACAAACTGGACGAGCTAAAGGCTAGGATTACAGCACAACGAGAAATCAGAGAATGCTGTGCTCTACTTCTCATCGAGACTTGACTTTCTGACAGAGTTCCAGATTCCACAATTCAGCTACAAACACATACACTGTACATCAAGGTGATGCTGCTTCGGGGAAGGTAAAAAGAGGCGGTGTGTGTGTTTATCAATAACTTGTGGTGTGGAGATGTACGGACTGTCTATAAGCACTGTTCGCCAAACGTAGAGTTTTTATTGCTGAAATGCCGGCCCTACTATCTAGCCAGAGAGCATAGTGCTGTGTTTCTAGCTGCTGTGTACATTAGCCAAAGAGCTAATGCCTCTGCGGCTCTCAGTAAACTCTATGATGTCATCAGCGCGCTAGACACAGCACACCCAGATGCTGTATTTATAGGAAACTTTAACCAGTGCAATTTGAATACTGTACTCCCCAAATATTACCAACATGTCAACATTCCCACTCGGGGCAAGAACACTCTGGATCATGTTTACAGTAACATACGTAGTGCATACAGGGCCGCACCCCGCCCCCACCTTGGATGCTCAGACCACATTTCTCCAGCCACAGCACAGAGAGGAGGCACACACACACCAAGACCACCCAGCCCCCCAACTCTCCTCCACTAACTGTCTCACCAGGCCAGGTACGCACAGTCCTGAGGAAGATCAACCCCTGCAAAGCAGCAGGACCGGACAACATCCCTGGGAGGGCTCTCAGGGCATGTGCCAGCGGGCTGGCTGATGTTCTCACCACCATCTTCAACCTCTCCTTCAGCCAGAGCATCGTCCCCACCTGCTTTAAGACCACAACCATCGTCCCACTTCCCAAGAAGAGCCCGGTCACCTGCCTGAACGACTACAGGCCAGTGGCACTCACCCCAATTATTATGAAGTGCTTTGAGAGAGTGGTGTTGGCCTGCATTCAGAGCAGTATACCGGGCACCCTGGACCCCCTGCAGTATGCCTACCGGCCCAACAGGTCCACCTCAGACGCCATCGCGGCTGCACTCCACTATTCCCTTTTTCACCTGGACAATGGAGACTCCTACATCAGGATACTCTTCATTGACTACAGCTCCACTTTCAACACAGTTGTCCCCAACAAACTCACCCACAAACTGTCCACACTAGGTCTGCACCCCACCCTCTGTGACTGGCTACTGGACTTTGACTGGCAGAGGCCCCAGACTGTCAGGACTGGCAACAGTTCTTCAGCCAGCATTGTTACAAACACTGGCACCCCACAGGGATGTGTCCTCAGTCCCATCCTCTACACCCTGTTCACCCATGACTGTGTCACCTCCCACAAAGACAACATCATCCTGAAGTTCGCGGATAACACCGCAGCGATAGGTCGCATCACTGGTGGGGACAAAGCAGCCTACAGGAGGGAGGTGGCCGGTCAGGTGTCATGGTGCAAGAACAATAATCTCAGCCTCAACACGGACAAGACGAAGGAGATGATAGTGGACATGAGGAAGGAGAGGATATCTCATCAACCGTTGTTCATCCAGGGGCTCGAAGTGGAGAGGGTGAGCAGCTTCAAATACCTGGGTGTCCACATCAGTGAGGACTTCACTTGGACACTTAACACCACACAGCTGGTCAAGAAGGCCCAACGGCGGATGAGGAGGTTTGGCATGTCGCCTAGGATCCTTTGCAACTTCTACAGCTGCATTATTGAGAGCATCTTGACCAGTTGCATCACTGTCTGGTATAGCAGCACTACTGCTATGGACCGCAAGCGCCTGCAGAGAGTGGTAAAGACTGCAGAGAAGATCACTAGGACTCCACTGCCCACTCTGCAGAGCATTTACCACCGCAGGCTGCATAGGAAGGCTGCCTCCATCCTCAAAGATCCCACCCACCCCCAGTACGGACTGTTCACTTCTTTGCCCTCGGCCGGAGGTTCAGAAGTGTGAAATGCAGGACCACTAGACTGAAAAACTCTTTCTTTCCCTCTGCCATCAGACTCCTAAACAGCTGAGGAGTTTATTACCTGGAAATATATGATGTACTGTTTACATTCTGTTTGCACGTGCATAATTGCACAATGACTGTTGACTGCTACACATGCAGCTCCCATGCAGCATACATTCTCTATTATATTCTTTTATTGTATTGCTGCATTTGTTGCTGCCTAAAGTGTCCTAGATTTTTGTGTTAACATGCATAATTGCACAGTGACTCTGCTGCACATGCTGCTCCTATGCAGCATACATTCTGTTATATTCTTGTATATTTTTTTACTATATTGCTGCATTTGCTGCTGCTTAAAGTGCCTTAGATTTTGTGTTATCTATCTATCTACTTTATATTTCATTTGTATTTTGTGGGATTCATGTGGACGGCAAAGTAAGAATTTCATTGTACAGGGAAACATGTTTCCTAACTGTTCATATGACAAAATAAACACTTTGAACTTTGAACATGAGTGAACAGTTCAACGGCTGTAAATAGTGCAAAGATAAATATACAGTATCTGCATGTTCAAGATTTAATCTATTTTAAATCGTTATATGGCCGTCAGTGTTGATACTGTGGTAACCTGTAACAAATCAGTGTGTGAAAACACTGTTGGTTTCTTTTCTTCTTTCTCTATAAAACTTTCTTTTCTTGACCATTTCTTTTTATGTAGCTGTTTCAACTGAATCTGGAATCAGAAGCTTGCTAGCCTGCCAGTAAACTATAATCTTGTTCACGTTTTGATTGACAGCTGTGAACTCCACCCCTGACTGTGGCCTTCTATGATTGGTTAGAGTGGTCAACAACCTTTAGTAGGGAATACCTCTGTACTGCTGCCAGGCTGTTTGATTCTGGGTCTGGGTCACAGGAGCCTTCAACAGCAACTCTCCCCATTAAGATAAGTTTTGGGTGATGTTTCTGCTTAAGATTTTTTTTTTTTTTTTTTTTTTTTCTACATATTGAAACTTTAACAATCAATTACATATCCACTTCTGTTCTGTTGAAATAAATGCTCGGAACATGTTGGGTGGGCCTGATTCATCTGATAGGCATGTGGGGATATGTCGCTTAATGGCACTGCACACAGAAGGCATGTGATGCGTGTCAAAACACCCACATCTGTTATTTTCAGTGAAAACCCACACACCGGGAATGCTCCTGCAGTGACCAACCAGCAATGTCTCTGTTTGGGAGGCGGACACCCTCTCTACCTTTAAGAGTAGACTTAAGACTTTTCTTTTTGATAAAGCTTAGAGTTAAGGCTAGATCAAGTGACACTGAGCCTTCCCTTAGTTATGCTGCTACAGGCCTAGACTGCTGGGGGCCCCATGATGCTCTGAGTTTCTCTCCTCTCTTCATCCATCTATATGCCACCACTACACATCACTAACTTTGTGTCCTCCTCTCTCCCATAGTGTGTCCTCCCTCTCTCCCTGTACCTTTCTGCAGGTAGCTCTGGCTCTGATGAGCAGTCACTGGCCACATTAGCTTGACCCGTGTTTGATTGTTTGTTGTGTCTTGTTGCTTTTCTTCTTTTCTCTCCCCTCTATCCACTCACCCCAACCGGTCGAGGCAGAAGGCCGCCCACCAAGAGCCAGGATCTGTCAGAGGTTTCTTCCATTAAAGGGAGTTTTTCCTCCCCACTGTCGCCAAGTGCTTGCTCAAGGGGGATTTGTTGGGTTTTTCCTCTGTAATAATAGTGATAGCAGTAAGGTCTAGACCTTACTTTGTAAAGTGTCCTGAGATGACTTTTGTTGTGATTTGGTGCTATACAAATAAACTGTATCATACACAACTGACTGTATCATATCTACTACTTTACATAGCATTCACAAACTGTTTCACACAAGTGATGGGATTTTTCATGAATTTAGTTACAATTGGTTGTCTGTTATGTTTCCTTGTTTCAGATATCGTGTTGAGTATGAAGCATTGTCCAAAGTGGAGTCTGAACAGAATGAGTTCATTGACCAGTTTATTCTGCAGAAGTAAGGCTATGACTGAGACAGCAGAAAATGTCTGACTTATGCAGTCATGATTCCAGAGTGCGAGTGCCTGTCCCCACTTCAGGGAATTACTCTGCTGCAACTTTTTCTGAAGCAATCCCAAAGCTCCAACTTCATCCTAAAACCTCTGCACCTCCTCGCACCACCTTATTTCTGTTATGCTTTTGTGTGCCAGCTGTCTGCTGTGCCTGCTCAGCTCTGGTCAGCAGGTGTGAGGCTTTACAGTGTCGTAACTTGAATACACTTTAGACATTGTTTTGTTCACACCAAAAATCTATTTATACAAAATATTATTTTTACTATTTATACCGAAGAATTGCTCTGTATATCTAGTTTTATTACATTTTATATCGACTCAAATCTTGTGTGTGCATGCATCTGTAAATACATTTTAGTTTTAAATGATAGCAGAAAGTTGACATTTTGATTTGGGTGTCTGTTATGTTTTAGTTCATTCTCCTGGTATTAACGAGTCTGTGGGGACAATGCATGTGGAAAAATATCTTCTCTTCAGCTACATTGTCCTTCTGTTATGTGTATCATTGTCTTTCATGTATTAATTAGATGACAGATGGTTATACTTGAATAAAAACTGTATATTGCACAAGAAAATGGGGCACACCAAGAATCTTTTTTTTTCTTTCTTTAATGCAAAATAATGTATGGATGTGGCTAAAAGCTTTGGTACCTTTCCCCTTCTCTGTGGTAAGTTGAAACTGATAAAAGTATTTGGCATCTGTTTTTCTGTTTTCCATATAAGGTAGCTCTTAGTGAGACTTGGTCACTTCTCAACTGGCAGTATGGCATCTCTTCCTGAACAGACTGCTCCAGTTCTCTGAGTTTATGGGTGCTTTCTGCACAAGGGTGTAGTTTTGCATATGGATGATAGGGATATGTCCCTACCAATATTTTGGGAGGACAGAAATGTCCCTACCAATAATTGAGCAAGCCCTTGTGCATTACCCTTGAAGTGAAGTCATATTGGATCATTCTGATGTACCTAATTGACTGAAAAGGAGGCCATGATCTAAAGCTGAAGTTGCATGGAAATGTTATATTTCCTCCCAGACAGAGGAGGTGATAGCTGTCAATGTGCTCACAATGGTATTATATAGCTGCTGACTTCGGTAAAGTTGGAAAGATATTCAGAAATTCAAAGTTTTGGATCAATAGTGAAACATTGCTAAAATACAAATGCCTCTTTTGTTCCGTAGTAATGTAGACAACAAGCTTGTTTTTATTAAATGAGTCATCCTCAGCTCCAGATAAATAACATTGGTCTCATTGTGCGGCGCTTGTGAGACAAGTGCACAGGGACTGTTTATAAACTGCAAAACCTGAAAGAGATAGGCCTACTACAAAAATATGTAATAAATTTACTCTTGCCCAGCGTAACATTCCCAAAATTACTTCGGGGGTCTGGTCCATGTTCATTTGGATTAGGATCTGGGCAAATAGCAGGCCACATCAGAATGTTCTGATGTTTGTTTCTCATCTATTCTTCCTTTTGGATATTTTGGGTTATTAGCCACATAGAGCTGATGTGACTTACTAAAAAGCTCCAATTTTGTTTCATCTGTCCAAAGGACATTCTCCCAGAAGCAATGATGAAATATTAGGGCCGTAAACATTTGAAGTATTCTATGATAAGACATCTAGACTTAAGGCTCATCTATTTAACATTAAAGAGATTACTTTATTGATTTTATTAATGTACCAATGTGGACAGAAACAGACTTGTCAGTCTTCTTTCTATGTACCCACAGTAATTTTAAAATGCAGATATTTGCATCTGACTTTGGGAAATATCCTCCACCAAAACATTAAGGCAGAAATATCCTGACTTTTGGTCCCATGTAAGGGTTAATTTCCAAAACTTCCTACAATACCTTTAATGTAACATCATGGCATTTTTATATTCCTCTAGTAACTTGACTCTGACATGTAAAATTGCTGGTGTCCCCTAAACATATTTTAATTGTTTGGGCTTATAAAAGGGGCCTTTGTGGCTGAAACCACATAGGTATAGACATGACCTCTTTGTAGTGGATTTTAGCTCACGACCCCACTCGTCTATTGCTCGTCTTTTAAGCAGTGTACTGACCTTTATGTAATAGAAAACACATTCTTATAATTTCTTCATATGACCTGTTCTGGAAAAATTGTCTTACCAAGGCTCAGTCAGTGCAAAATAAAGACTTGACATCTACCTGAATGTTGCTGCGTGTCTAACAGAGTGTTAGACAGTCTGAGGGAGAAGCTTTTTGAATGGAGAGCTGCACTTCCTTTTATATATTGTTAGGTATTTTTAGTCAGATAGATATTGGATAGATACTTTATGTATTAGAAATGTTTAGTGGAGATAGGGTGTCTAGTTAGACTGTCAAATGCTTAGGCCTGCTTATGAGTTTCTACAGGGTACTTCTGGTCAAGGATACCACAGAGAAGAGTTGATGACTGTCAGCAGACAGGGTGTTTAATATTATTATTACGATGTGTATAACTGTAGCCTTAGCCATAATGTTCCTATGTTCAAGTCACGACATGTACTAGAGGTCGTGAGAATGTTTTTAGTTACACACCACTTAACCAACAGACATACACATTCACACGTTGATTTGCTTCATGTTTTGACTACTGCTATGGCCAGCTGCAAAGCTGGTAACAGAGACGTCCCGGTTGACGTTTCTGTGTAGTATGGGGCTAGCCCAACCGAGGTGATAAAATGTATAGGCCTGGTGGGCTCAGG